CCTCTTTCATTTGCAATATTATCGACTTGGTTCAACATGGATGGGTATTTTTTTCACCAAAAGCGAGGCAAGTGAACAGGCTGTAAGATGATACCAAATAACCCAATAAACCCAAAAATTGACGAGCGCCTGAATTTGCCGCGTCATGACAAAAGTGTGTCACCACACGGTGATATCAGGTGCTCCTCATTTTGGGGGGTATAGGACGTTATTGTTATAACCTATTAATGAAAATTTATTTAGCCATGCGTTTGATGACAAAATATACCTATGTATCTTGAAAAGGTATCAAGATACTTAAATCTGGTAGATTGAAGAAAGTGAAAGTCGCCTGATGTGGAAATGGCCGCCAAAGTTTGGAAACTTCCAAAGCTTCAGCGTCCACGGAAACTCCCAAATTACTTATTCTTCTTTTTATTTGTTCCTTTGGTCTACGGTTGTTGTTGCTTTGTTGTTGTTTGGGGGTTTTTTTGTTTTTTGGGGGGGTTGTTTTCTGTTTGTTTGTTTGGGATTTTTTATTTTTTTTTTGTTGTATTTTTGTCTTTTTGTTTTGGAGTTGGGTTTGTTTATGTGTTGTTTTATTTTTTGTTGTTTTTAGGGGGGGGGGTGAAAAATAAAAACAGAAATGTGTTTTTAATAGGACATTTAAAGGTGTTTTGAGCCAAAAACAGGAAAAAAATCGATGAAAATTGCAGAGCTCACAGAAAATCCGTTTCTTCGATTTCATTTTTTTAGCGAGAGCCTGATTTCACCCCGGTGCCTTACAAATATACACATCTTCTAAATTAGCACGATTGGGTCGACGGGGACATGATAAATGTGCAAACAGTATGTATGTGGTTAAAATCATTCGTTTGTTTCAGCCTACCTAATTAAATAGTGTTGCAATGGAATCAGAAACATAGTATTTATATTTCGAATTCCGAGTCAAACCAGGCATTCATTCCATCACTGAAGTCTACAAAAATATAATCTAACAATGTCGACAATCACAATAAAGAGATAATAAATAAAAACGTGATAAAAGA